TATGAGATGGTTACAAAATTTACCGGTTACAATAGTACACCAATTGCGAAAAGGGTCTAAAAATTGATTGTAGACATTTTTTCGCAGAATATATGTATATATAATAATAATATTTCCTTAATTACAGAAAACAAATTGCTAAAAAACTCACATGTTTATTATTATACATTTTTGAAAAATGGGACATATTTCTAACTGTTGAAATCAATTTGCTCAAAACATACATTTAGAATAATGTTTTAAGAAATAATTACACCCGAGCGCATTTGTGCACATGGGTATTATAACTTCGTTCGCATAGCGGTTGTTTGTTGTCTAGCCCTTCAGGTTAATAAAGATTGTAGAAAACGATTTTTGCTTGTGTGGGGTCCCGTTTGATTCCCAAAATTGGAAGGAACTGATTTTTTCAAATTGCAAATCCTAATAAATAAATTATTTCTAAAATAGGTTACAGCAGACAATGTTTAATCATTTTTTATTAATATACCGACACCTGATTGGAAGATCGACCTATCTCGGCAGCCAATTCAAAAACGCCCTAACTCAGAAAGCTTTTTATGAAAGTCCTACTTCAGAATTTGGTTGAAGAACGCCATATCTCAAATGAAAATATATTGAAAATTTGCCGAGATAGGGCGTTTTTGAACCGCATTCTGAGATAGGGCGTTCTTCAACAAAATTCTGAAATAGGGTGTTCTAGAACAGTTTGTTGAGATAGGGAGTTTTCGAACTGGCTGCCGAGATAGGTCGATCTTCCACTTAGGTGTCGATATGTAGTTTTGATGTTAACAAACAAACCAAAACTTGGGTTAAAAAGCGTGCTCAATGAAATGGGTATAAATTCTTAAATATTGCATTTTCGGAAAAGGATGTTAATGAAAATAGAGACCAATGAATTTTGTTAAATATTTTTTTGTTGGAAATGTTGATAATTTGTGGCTTATTGTAAATGAAAAAACCTCCACAAACCAACAAATTCGATTTTCGAATCTTCATTAACTGCTTGACCCAATAGCGACGAAAAAAAGTACGAAGAAATTTGTATAAAAAATTTTTATAATTAAATAATGAAATGTATATGTATGTCTAAAGTTAGAACCAGAAGCTCTTAAATTTGTTAGTTTATATTAACTTATATATGTATGTACTAATTTATGCATTATGCATTATTAAAGCTGACAATTTTCTAAACAGAGATGTTAAAATCATTAATAATTTATATTTTTCATAATGACATTCTAACGACACGTTCACCAAAAAATATTTCTCCAATTAATATTTTTTATTCTTATAAATCCTTGTACAAATTTAAGTGAAAAAAAACTGATGATAACGCTCTATTAACTATTTTTCGTGTTGAAATTTTGCAGTCTTTTTAATAAAATG